TGTGCCAAAAAATTCCTTCCTTCAAATATTTCTTGATACATGTTTGACACACTATACACTCTGTATATTGAGAAGGATGTCTTCTCGGTCCAGGAAGGCGTAATTTTCGATAATACAAAGTGTATCAAACATGTATTATGATATGTTTGAAGAAAATGAATCTTCATTCTAGAAACGCAGCAAAATAGCAAAACAATTCAAGAGACCAAAATGTTGTATTTTCAGTTACTCGTTAGGATATGAAGATATTGAATTTAAAAGAATCAGGGACGCCACTGGATTTCACAATTACAATTTATCATGACTAAATCAGCCCTTCATGACAAAAAATATCATTGCCAAATTTCAAGAGAATCGGTTGAAGGATCTTTGAGATATTCGTAAAAAAACGATTTTTTTTCTAAAAAGTCTAACACACTGTGTCTTGAAAATGCATTTCCGGACCCAAGTATATAATATGAAATGAATTTCATGTTTTCTCATGCAGAATCACCCCCTTGTTTTTTGCGCATAATTTCCGGGCACCCTGTTTTGATAGACAAGAAGCCACCGATCGGCCGGCCGACTGCGTAACAAGCGTCTAGCTAGACCAGTGAATCTTTCAAACCTGAAGGTTATCAGAAGGTTATTCGTGTTTCATCCTCAAAAGAAGCCTTGTTTATTGCTAGGCGATTTTGACTTTGACCATGAAACGTGTGAAGCTATTATTGGTCGATAGTGTCTACCCAATTCAAATTGATCAATAATAACATCACCAAGTTTCATTGCTAGCATCGCCAAAGCCTCGGCCAGAGCCAAAATCGCCCAGTAATAAACTGAGCTTTATGGTAATATGAGGAAGGAAAGTACTTTCAACCTCACTTGTCCTAAATGAACCTTTTTCCTGAAAAGTGTATTTTTGAAAAATTACTTAATTGAGTGAAAAAAATTAATAAAAAAAATTGACGCCTCGCAGGAATTGAACCAAGGTCACCATCATGGGAGTCAGATACACTAACCACTAAGCCATCGCTTGTTCCTAGTTTCTCAATATAAAGAAGTAAGAAATCTCATGTGTTGTGGGTGACGTCACTTGACCTCGATGTTTGAAGATTCACTGGACTAGCTAGACGCTTGTGACTGTGTAGTGTTATGAACTACGCGGTCGTTTCAACTCAAAGCGGCGTTTTGACGATGTGATAACCAGATGGTAGGTCCTGAATTTGTTGTGATTTTCGGTGTATATTCGGATGGCTTACCGACAGGTATCAGTGCATGATATTCAAATAATAGTGGCGTGACCATGACAGTAGCATAATGAATGATTAATATTGAAAACGGTTTCAAAAATGATTTTATTCATCAAATAGTTTAGCTTTTTTCCTCAAATTATCTGGTACGGCCCGGCCGACCCTGCCGTCCTCAACGAGTCGTCACTGCTCCTTTTCTATTCATTGACTTTCAAACTCCCGGGAATTCGTAAAAAATTTTATATCTCTACTGCCGAGTCTACTGCTATGTGGGAAACTATCATCTCCCCCAGAGGGTTGAAATCATGACCCGCCTTCAACAGAAAAATTCAGTGGCCTGCCGGGTTCGAACTGGAGTCATGTACAGGGTCCTGCCGATTTAATTTAGGAAATGGTAAGAGATAGAGAATTGATTAAATTAGACAAAAGTTGCAAAATTTGAACCTGTTCAACTATGCTACAAAATGAGACAACTATCTGATCCTGTTCAGGGAGCTATTTGACATCTGTTTCAAGAAAAAATATTGCAAAAATCAATTCCGGACCTCAAAGCTGGAATTTGAATTATATTGATAAGAGGGTGAAAGAGGGTGGAATGCGTGCTACAAAATCAACTATCTATCATATCGTCCCCCTTATCACGTAGGGGCGTAAATAACAAAAAAGTGCAAAATTGAGTTACGCCGGGAATAGACTTTCTTACAATGCACTTTTCATCTGACGAAGTGGCGTAACTGTATCTCTTCTGATTCCGTCACAAACAGTACGTATGTTCATGGCGTATCTGCCGTTGTCAATACAGAGAACTTCACGTAGAGACGTAAAATAGATACGCCTATACGTGTAACAAAATATTTGCTATAGTGCCGGTCAACCTGATGAGGCGTAACTGACATCACCTGTTTCATAGTATGCAATTATAACCTCAAAATAGTGTATTCCATTGTCTCCAGTTCGTTTGTTTATGTTGCTCAAGATGGACGTGCTTGTACGTTGGAGAGATGGTTCGAAGAATGTGGTGTCTTCTGCAGAGCTCAAAACTGTCAAGTGTGATTTGATAAGTGTAGGATGTACTGTTAAAATTTTCAAGCAGAAAAACTTATCATTCTTTTCGCCCAAAAAAGATCAATGTTCCCTATGTATGACTTATTGTAAAGGAGACGAAAATACAAAAAATAGTTTGAGGGACAGATATAACACTCGATCACATTCAAGAAAAAACCACTGTCAGACAGATTAAAACAGAATGTAAAAGAGAGGCTCAAGAAAATAAATTGAAATTATGTGGAGTAGTTGATTTGCAGCAAGTTATATATCTGCCTATTTCAAAGGAAAGCGCAATTTTTTATAAAAGCCGATTGTCAAATTTCAACTTCACATTTTACGATCTTGCCAATAAGGAATGTTTCTGTTTTGTCTGGCATGAAGCCATTAGTAAACGTGGTTCCTCAGAGATTGCAACCTGTATTTACAGGGTCTTAGAAGAATACAACAAAAGATCCATAAGAAGTGTTACTTTATTTGCTGATGGATGTTTTGGGCAGAATAAGAATTCTATAATTCCAGCGATGTTAATGTATTCTTTGACTAAATTATCATCTTTAGAGGAAATATCTCTACGGTATTTTGAAACCATAATCATGGCCAAAGTGAAGGTGATTCAGCACAATAGTGCTATTTCCAGTGCGATTTCTGCTGCAGGAGACCTTTACATTCCTTCCCAGCTTCATCCTATAATTCGTTTAGCACGTAGAAAACAGCCATATTGTGTTGTGCCAATGAGTTATGGTGAGTTCAAAGATTTTAAGTCGTTTTCAAAAAAACTTCGAGTTTTGACAATTAGAGAAACCGAAAGAGGCAATGTTATGAAATGGCCGGATGTTATGGAAGTAATGGTCACCAAACAATACCCAAAGAAAATATTTTTCAAGACCAGCCATCTTGATACAGCATACGACTCCATTACTCTGAAACGTTTGAAAGAAAATATATCCGATATACAGCTCACAACATTGAATTCTGAAGCACCGAAGATAAAAAAACGAAAATATGAAGATCTCATGTCATTGTGTAAAGGAGAAACACCTGTCGTTAGACTGCCAGAGTTTCAAGAATTTTTCAGATCGTTGCCTCATGACCAAGAGTGAATAAATCGTTGTATTTTTTTTGTAATATTCACCAGGACTTTGTCATACTTTGTTCTTTTCCTATTATAACAATAATTACATATTTAGGTTTCATGAAATCTGTGTCTTTTACGACTCTCATACTTTGATTCCGCTATTATTATAGTAGACCTATCTCACAGAACCAAATGAATGCATTCTCACGTATGGGCGTATATGCAAACTTTTTTGTATAAAAAAAAAACAACAACTCGTACATTTCTCATACAACAATCAGTATGAGGAACATATTGTTCCTGTTGTAATGCTAAGATATTATTTTGAAATATTACAAATTAAGAAATGTAGGGCGATGCAATTGTCATCCATTTTCGTTTTTTCTCTCTCCTGTAAAATATTCAGAAATCAGATTCGCCCCTACGTGATAAGGGGGACGATATGCAGGAAGCTATTTTACATCTGTTTCATAAAAACAATCTTGCAAAAATCATTTCCTGACCTCTGAGTTGGAATTTGAATTATATTGATGAGAGTGTGAAAGAGGGGTGGAATGGATCCTACAGAATCAGACAACTTTCTGATCATGTTCAGGAAGCTATTTGACATCTGTTTCAAGGAAAAAATATTGCAAAAATCAATTTCTGGCCTCTAAGTTGGAATTTGAATTATAATGATGAGGGTGAAAGAGGGGTGGAATGGATGCTACAAAATCAGAACACTATCTGATTATGTTCAGGAAGTTATTTGACATCTGTTGCAAGAAAAGAATTTTGCAAAAATCAATTCCTGGCCTCTTAGTTGGAATTATAATTATATCTATAAGAGGGTGGAAGAGGCATAGAATGGATGCTACAAAATCAGACAACTATCTGATCTTGTTAAGTGAAGTGTTTTTTATTTATTATAGCAGATTAAATGTTGAAATTCCTAATATTTTTATTTGTAATTTGATTTGAGTCAGTTTAATCAATATTGTCACTCTGCAGCCTGCCCCTGTTGATCTTTCATTGCTGGATGATGTGGAGTTGCTGCTTTCACACTGGTATCAAATTCAATGTTTGCTAAGTAAATGTATCAACAAACCCATTAAACAGTTAGAATGAATCAATGAATATTGATGTGATTAATAGTTGAAGAGGTTCAAATTATGCAACTTTTGTCTAATTTAATCAACTTTTTATCTCTTTCCCTTTCAGAAATAGCAATACTATCCCTATTAAATCAGGGGGATCTTGTATAGGACACTAATAAATGCCTCTTATTTCTCTCATTTCCCTATAATTCCTCAAGATATCCCTATTTCCTCCATTTCCCTGAAATGCTTATTTCCATAAAATTCTCAATTATTGCCTACTAGAAGTTAATGAGAAGTTCCTGTGGTTAACAGTAGCCTCGGAAATAGCATTTTGATTAGCAAAGAATAAGCACAAATGAGATGAATTACTAACAGGATGATTATATAAATTGAATAATTATTTCTTGGTTTATTTGCATAGGCTAGTACTTCAATTGAACCAGATAAGCATTAGTCATTTATAAATTTGACAAGTTGTATTATTTGCATAACAAATAGGTTGGTAAAAACAATAATCATTAGATGAAAAGGTATCAAAACAAGGCGAACAAGGGGGTCTATTTCTCTTACCTTCTTCCGTATTCTCTAGCATACGCTGTAATTCCAGGATATCTAAGCTTGGTAACCCACACTGGCTACCGAATTTCTCCATAAATGAACAAATAACTGCAAAATTTGGATCATTTTCACAAGCTTCAATATCCGACGCCATTACAGCGGCTCCGTCAGATACAATAATCAACTAAACGTATACAAAATATTATTCACAAATATATCGGAATGTAATATTTACAACATTTTCACAGAACTATTATGTATTGATGCAAGAATCTTGTTCGAAGTGAGATTTTCATATTTATTTTTTCAATAACAAAAAAAGCCATTAGAAATACTTCCAGTTCCAACTTGGAAAATCTACATCTTTATTTTTCACTCACTTTATATTTTATGTTTTATGACAATTTATGACATCATGAGACATGAAGTGTGACATGGAAATGAAGAGTGACATGACTCTTTTTTCTGTTCTGTAACTGATGTGAACTGTGGAATGATGGTGAAATGACTGAAATGGTTCTGTTCTGTGCATCGAGTTCATTGTTCTGTGTCAAGCTTGTTGGTAACTTGTTGGCAACAAGTGGATCACGGCAGGAGGCTGCCGCATCCGGCTGCGTTAGCTGCATCCTCTGATCGAGGAGTCACGCTTCGTCTTTTATATTCGATGTCTACTGCAACAAAATTTGGAGGGATCGAATTGAAAATGAAGATCTGCTTTTTCATGAAAAAAATTTCGACTTCGAGTTTCAAAATGGTGACTGAGCGCCTTCTTGAATATGAATGGTTCTTTTAAATGGAACGCCCCATATATATTATTCCATTTTTGAATAAATCTTCTCATAATACTCAACAGTTTCATCAATGTTTCATCTAAGGTCCCTTGTTTCATCTAATACACTTACTCCATTCCTGAATTCAATACCTAATCTTCTAAATATTAACGTTTGAAAAAAGACAGTTTGGTCATTCTCCCTTGTTTCTTTAACGTCGGCGTTTTTCTGTCACTGAGGCTAATCATCGACGCCGGTAAGCACACAACCCCCAACCGGAAATTTTGCCGAATCCTCTGCAAATCCTCTGGCGTTCCATCGCCATCTATAAGAAGATCGACGGAACCATTGCTCTCGCTGTTCTCGAGCCGAGAGGTCGAGTAAAATTTACGAACCATATCTTATGCAATGATGCGCTTTTGTTTCAGAAATTTTACTCGACCTCTCGAGAGCAATGGTTCCGTTGCCATTTTATTTTCACTCGTCACAGCAGCAACAATCAGTTCTACCAACCTTGAGCAGCAATAGCAGCATTACCATCTAGCGGGAAAATGTAGAATCAACATCTAGCTCGTTGTGACATCGAGAAATCATAATAGGCGGTCGAGTGATTTTTCTGAAATTTTCAATACGTAATAATGGCCGAATACGCGTACCATATCTTACTTCCATTATTGTCGCGCAACTAGAAAGTTGCTCTAACTATGAAGAAAGAAGAAATATCGTGTGTTGGCCTGTTTATCACAACAAGCAGCACAGCAGCATGGTACTTATTGAATTACTTGCCGCATGTGTCATTATTCGATGACACGAATGGAATGACAGTGACACTAGTTTTCATGGTGAACTGTCATACTCATATGACAGTGAATAATATAACATAACCAAAGAATAGTAGGTTAGTCACCGATTGTCACCGACATAACCTAACAAGGATTTAAAATTTAAGAGGAAGAAGAAGAAATGGTTTAAATTGTTTTTGGATTTTCGAAATTTCAAATCAATAAGCTGCTAGAGATTTGATTTCAGAAGTTCACAGTGTTCACACAATTAACATGGTTTCTGAGACACATCATGCACTGAATTTAGGCAAGTATCACAATTTTATTCATTGTTATAATATGTCTTTTTAACGAATCAAACACTTAGAGCTTTAACAATTTATTCACTTCAACCGACTCGTTACCCTGCACAATGGATACTGACTTTTATCATCCCGTCCAGGAATGCGTGACTCCAAAAATGATTCACCGTATTGCATTGTATAACTTATTAATCCGTTGAACATTCCATCACCTCGTTTATATTAATCGTACAACAAAATAATAATAGTAATGATATTTAAACAATGAAAATAATAATAATAATAATATTGATGATACATTTCTACAATACTATGATAATAATAATTATTATTCTTCACATTCGGCCATCCTGCTCACGAAGCGTCCCCGCTGAGGTTCTTGGTGAACAATTCCTGGCTTGGTGCGGATCTCTATCTTGGTGGTTCCTCCTGTGAAAAAAAATAAATCCACAGTATTCAAATTTTGGCTAATACTTCATTTTTTTGTTCAGTATCATTTCTGTCATGTTCACCTGTAATTTGTTGGATTCTTACCTCATTAAAGGTCTAATGTTTACCTCGTGAAAGGTCTTGTTTTCCTTTTTCTACCTCTAATGAGGTCTAACCTCATTAAGGGTCATAGTTATTACCTCAAGGAGGTCCTTATTTCTACCTCATGAAAGGTCTAGGTATTTACCTCTAAGAGGTCTGTTTTTTATTTACCTTGCAGAAGGTCTTAGTTATTACCTCAAGGAGGTCCTTATATAAGTATATTTTTACCTTGTAAAAGGTCTATTTCTACCTCGTAAGAGGTCTTTGAGTATTTACCTCGTGAACGGTCCTTACTTCTACCTCAATGAGGTCTATGTATATATATATTTCGTTTTACCTTTCATAAAGCATTCTAACCCTCAAGTAGATCAATCAAATCATCCGTACTGTTCACTTCGGAATCCGAAGTGTCCGAATCGCTCACCCCTGATATAAACGGTTTCAGTTGCTCTGCTGATACTGTAGCTTTATATTTTTTGTACCCCTTGATACCCTTCAATGCCATTATTTCATATCTATCATTGCCTAAAACCTTGTTAATTTTGTAAGGTCCTCCAAACCGAATACCTGTTTTTTTATTAGTTTCCTTCCTTTCTGCACTGGCTCCTGCCCAGAGAACGAGATCATTCAGTGTGTATTCGTTGCTTTCTTTCCTTCTAGCATCGAAATATTTTTTCATTCGCTGCCCTTGTTTATTCATTGAGTTAGTGGCCTTCATTCGATCCCTATTTCTGTCTATTTCTTCAACACTGTCATCTCCAAGATCTGCTAGTAAGACGTTTTTTTCGAAACCGAACATGAGTTTATGAGGAGTTAGGTGAGTACTACTGTTTTCTGTATTATTGATTCCTAAAACTGTTTGCGGTAATTTTTCGAACCATTCGCACTCGTCATTTATACTTGTATTGATTGCATCCAATAATGTGCGATTGTAGCGTTCTACCTGCCCGTTGGACCTTGGAGACGCCACTGTATTTAATATGTGTTTGATTTTAAATTCAACACAAAATTCTTCAAATTTTTTGGATTTGAATGCTTTACCTTGATCGGAAATTATTCTCTTTGGTAATCCAAACATACTGAATAAATCTTTGAGATTATAAACAACTTCTTTGGTATTCGTTGTTTTGGTGGGTCTGGCAAATAGATATTTAGAGAACGAATCGACGACGACTAATATATAGGAAAAACCATTACTTTTACAAAATGGGCCTAAATGGTCAATATGCCACGTATCTAGAGGTTGTGTTGGTTTTTGTATAGGGTGTAGGAAGCCTTCTTTTTTACCATATTTCCCACGTTTGAAGGCACAATCCAGACACGCATTGACATATTTTTTGATAAATCTCGTCATTTTTTGAAACCAAAATTTGCTTTTAATGAGTTTTTCACATTTATTGAGACCAATGTGTCCGATGTCGTCATGAAACTTTCGCATTAAACTAAATCTTGCAGATCTCGGAATGACAAGCTTATTTTCTCCGTCAGCAGTTTTCCTATAAAGACGATGATTTTTCTCAGAGTAAATATTTTTGAGCTCTGGATCTGGGTTATCTTGTTTCAGTCTTGTTTTGATAGCCATCAATTCTGGGTCTTGAGTTTGAAGACAATATATCCAATCATTCATGTTTATAGTTAGGACTTTGCTAGTATTTCCGATGTTTCGACTAAGAGCGTCAACGTGAGACATTTTGGTTCCCGGTCTGTGTTCTATTTCGAAGTCATAGTCTTGTATTGACAGCCACCAACGAGCAATGCGTGGTAAAAGGTCTTTCTTACTGAAAGTCAATCTGACAGCATTACAGTCAGTAACTATTTTGAAGTGGATACCCGTTAAATAAATTCGGAGTCGTTTGATCGATTCGACTATTGCTAATGTTTCTAATTCGTATGAATGATAGATACTTTCTTCCCTGCTCGTCGCCCTACTGGCCACGTTTATACCGTATGGATATTTGGTATGCTTACCAAGGCGATTTGACCAAATTCAGACCAAATGCCTTAGTTAACGCATGTTTACACCATGTATCTTTAGTTGACTAACTTTGTTTTGATTTGATTATATTTTTGAGGTTAGGTTGTGGAAATTTACTCAAATTCGTGAATTATGAATAATAACTTTTAGTAGGATTCGAAATTAGCTGAAATTGAATGGAGAATTGTCATGAAGACTCATGAAATAACAGATACTTGCACTTAACTCTAGTCAAAGCTATACAAAAGTAGACCAAAGTGTTTACACCGTTTTGGTCATCATACTATTTTAGTCTGGTACGCAACGAGTTTCGGTACCAAACCAAGCTGGAAACTTTACCAAGTCTACAGTTTATACCACACCAACCAAGAGTATTTAGTTAAAATATTGTCATTAGTCAGCTTACCAAGACACGGTATAAACGTGGCCACTATAATACATGGTAGGCTTGAGGCCATCACTATATTTTTGCATTAAAATAGCTGCTAGGCCTTTACTACTCGCGTCGGTGTGTAATTCGGTTTCTAAATTGACATCAAATATACTCAATAGTGGTCTATTTGTTAGAATGGATTTGATTGTTTCGAATGCTTTTTCCTGTGATTCGCCCCATACCCACTGATAGTTTTTTTTTCAGTAGTTGGCTTATAGGCCGAACTATGATAGCATGATTTTTGACAAATTTTCTGAAATACGAACACAGACCTAGAAATTGCCTAACTTCATGGATGTTTCTTGGTGTCGGAAAATTCAGAACGGCGTTGATTTTCTGCTTCCCAGGTTTAATACCAGACTCGCTGATTTCATAGCCCAAATAATCAATGCTAGTTTCGAAAAACTTGCATTTTTTCAAGTTTCGAATGCTTTTTCCTGTGATTCGCCCCATACCCACTGATAGTTTTTTTTTCAGTAGTTGGCTTATAGGCCGAACTATGATAGCATGATTTTTGACAAATTTTCTGAAATACGAACACAGACCTAGAAATTGCCTAACTTCATGGATGTTTCTTGGTGTCGGAAAATTCAGAACGGCGTTGATTTTCTGCTTCCCAGGTTTAATACCAGACTCGCTGATTTCATAGCCCAAATAATCAATGCTAGTTTCGAAAAACTTGCATTTTTTCAAGTTCAGTTTCAAATTCGCTGTATGAAATAATCCTAGCACCGTTTCGAGAGTCTCGAGCCCCTCATCAATCGTGAAGCTTGGAATTAGAATATCGTCTAGGTAAATTATGACACTTTCATGACGTAGTTGACCCAGCACATTATTGAGGAGTCTCTGAAATGTAGCTGGGGCGTTACACACCCCAAACGGCATCCTCAGGAATTCAAATTGTCCATCGGAAGTAACAAAAGCAGTCTTATATACCGAATTTTCTGACACCGGAATCTGATAGTAACCTTGGGTCATGTCAAGAACACAAAAATATTTGTAGTCTTTCAAACGTGAAATTTGATCTTCGATATTGGGAAGCGGGTACCTGTCTTTGACCGTTATTTTATTTAACTTTCTATAGTCAATTGCTAATCTAAAATCTCCGTTTTTCTTTTTAACCAAGATTGCTGGACTCGCGTAGCTCGATTTTGATTCTCTTATTATTTTATTCTCCAAGAGATCATTAATTTTTTCTCGAATTACTTTTTTCTCAATTTCTGAAACCCTATAGGGTTTATAAAAAATGGGTTCTGAATCACTAGTATTCACAGCAAAACAGGAGTTATACTTTTGTAACAACTGATACAATGACGAAACATTTATTTCAGATAGTTCTCCCGTTTGAATTTCTTCCAGGCCTAATTTCCGGACCTGACAAATATCGAAATTTTTCATCTCGTCACTTGAAAATGGGTATCCTCTTGCCATGATTTGATTTTCAACAATAGTCAGTCTCTTATTACTTACATTAGTGATATTCATAATGAAGACGGGTTTTATGGTTAACACAGTAGAGTTCATGTAATCATGGCGGAATTTCGAAGGAATTATCAAATTAGAGCACTCGCTTCGAACTTTTACTGGCATTGTACAGTTAGGGGGGATTGCCACGTTTTGTATTGACTTTACATTATACTTGGAAGCATCATAATTTCCACTGATTTTCAATATCTCATTTTCGGGTTGAATTTTTTGCAAAGTGACCTTTTTGGCGGATATTTTCATCTCTATCTGATCATGATTAATCACTGGTTGACCTATAATTATATCTATCGGACCCATATCTACATTAGCAAAGTGTACAACAGAATCGATAGCAAAATCATATAAATGTAAGGTTAGTAGAGCTAGTCCTTCGGGAAACACAATTTGATTACCAAACCCACTAATGATTGTGTCTGGTTGGCCCAGAGGGATTTTGAGTTTATCAGCTAATTTTACGTTTGCTACATTTATTTGACTACCTGTATCCAAATATCCTTCGCACATAGTGCCATTTATAATTACTTTGATGTAGTAAAAATCATTTGCTACTTGCCTTTTTAAGGTTTTCACCATGGCCG